GCAGCCCGGAGGACTTCACTTACCACCTTTGCTTTCCACCTCCTCTGCCTCCTCTGCCATTGCCAGCCCTGCTGCTGTGGCTGCTGCACCTCCCTTGGCCCCATAGCCTCTCTGGTTCTGGATCCACCCACTTTTGAATGTAGATGCATGGATCTCTCAGTGTCCTTGTGTGCTGGGTAGAGGTACATTCATTTATTCATGGATGTCCAGTTAGACAAAAATTGAAGGGGAGAGAAAAAGAGCAACTTATACTGCCATTATGCTGATGCCACCCCTATTATTCTCACTTCAGTAGGGTTGAATGGCAGATGTTAAATAAATACTCTCTTCTGTCTGGAATTTTACCTAAATGGGGACTGATGAGGTTTAAATGCAGTGCAATTGTTACCTAGAAAAAGCAGGCACACTGGAAAGGACAGTCAAAGAGGTAAGAAAGGCCAGGCTCCAGGAACAACCATAAGTGCTTATTGTTCTCTCCAAATGTTACTCACACTGGAAAGGTGAGAGCCCCACCTGGGAGGCCATGACTTTATATAACATCAGTCCCTTCTAGAGGAACTTAAAACGCATCATAGTTGCCCAAGCTCCATAATATCCTAGAATCAAACTCTCACTCTACCTTTGGTTCCAGTAGGATGATATAAACCCCCTTCCACCCATCTTTCACAAATAGATTTCACAAATCTATAAATTCTGGACAAATCCAAAAACCCCACAAGTAGCTCATAATACCAGAGATTACAAGGGTCACAAAATTTGAACAAGCACCCAGTATACAGGATAAGGTTTCCAGTTTCAAATTTATTTTTGTGCCCTTTGTTTCTGAATCTGTTTTTCTATTGGTGGAGGTGTTCTCGCACCAGAAAATGTCTAGGATCCCTGGTATCTTCCCGCCCCGATTTTTGTGATAAAGGAGAATAATCCCACATATATCGAGAGCCCTCTCAGAACCAGTTCCCTACCACCACTTGGAGTCTGTGGGTATCCAGGGACTCAACACTCACCGCGCTAGGCTCTGCCTTCAGCCTGTTGGCCCTGGTGCTGTTTGCATCATTCACCATGCTGTTTTAAATGAAATCATTTCATAATATGTTTACTTTGGGTTTTCCCAGCAAACAGATAGATTTGCATGCAGACTGGGAAGTGCCCTCAGGAAGAACACCTGTGAAGGAGTGAAAGCAGGTGCTCTGGGCAGAGGGACATGTTGAACTGCTGTGCAACAACAGCCCCCACAAGTGATCACACAGGGAGCTGAGGAGCTGGGCTGCCCTTCAAGCTGTTTTAACCTCAGGCAGTTTTGCTTCAACAGATGCAAATACTGCCATTGTGCAACTGGAGCTGAAGGAGGTGCTACCTGCACAGCTAAATGTTTGGTTTCTTGTGAAACAATGGTAAAAGGAAGATGGCAGAGTATATGTCTTAGTCCAATCAGGCTGCTATCACAAGACAGCATACACTGGGTGGCTTGGGAACACACACTTATTTCTCACAGTTCTGAGGCTGGGAAGTCCAAGATAATGACGCCAGCAGATTCATGTCTGGACAGAATGTTCCCCGTTTATGGTCTCTTCACTGTGACCTCACAGAGCAGAAGCTGCAAGGCAAGGGAGCTTAAGGCTGCTTTTATAAAGGCACTCATCGCAATCATCACCTCCCAAAAGCCCACCTCCTAGCATCATCACTTTGAGGGTCAGGATTTCAACAGATGCATTTCTGGGGACACAAACATTCAGCCCATGGCAGTATACTTGTCCTGTAGAATTTCATTGTGTGAGGCAGAGGGGAAAGGTGGAGCAGGAAATGAGGGGAGATTTGGAGACAAAGCCCTGTGAACAACTTCAGTGGTAAATCACCAATTTGACCCTGTTTATTAATTGCCCTTTTTGAATAACATTTTCATGTTCAGAAAGTATTGAGATCCCACTTTACAGATGTGGAATTTGAGGATCAGAGACTAAGTGAATGATTGGAGCTCCCAATGGTAAGAGAGCCTAGTTTTCTAGTCCTCACCCTTTCCACCAGAACAATCTCATATATTGTATATGACATGAGGCAATAAATTTCAGTGGTGAAATAAATATTAAGTACTACATTTTAAATCTTCACTTTCCCCCCACCTCTTCAACCTCTCTAGGGCTGGCTCAGCACAAGCTGTTTTATTATGAAAAGAACACCAATGTCAGAGAAATCCCAAGCTCCTTTCATAAAAACTACATGGGCATAGGGATACTTTCTAAATCATAACTTTAGTTGATAATAGCAAGGAAAAGGACAGATACTAATGCATATCTTTGAGGATGTACCTAACATACTCCGTTAATATCATTTTCAAGGTCCTTAGCACCAATACCTTTGAAAACAAACATCTTTAGTAACAGATCCTAATGTTCTAAGGCCCTTTGGATAAATGGATATGGATCTGCCTGGCCTTTGATCCCTCTTTCTAGTTTTACCTTGAATAGGAAATATTCACAGACCTTTTAGCTTTTAAGTTACTTATTTTTTTTGAGAGAGAGAGAGAGAGAGAGAAAGGAGGCATGCAAAGAGAGAAACATGGGAGGGGCAGTGAAAGAGGGAGAGACAGAATCCCAAGCAGGCCCCCTAAACCATCCACATGACAGAGCAGTGAAAACAGAGCTTAGAGAGAGCTTTTCTGGTATTCTAATCAGAACATTACAACCATTGGTCCCTATATCAGATCACTTGTCTTTTACCCCCAAATACTAGTAGAGTAAAATGATAAGACAGTCTACTTGAGTCAGCTAGGATTCTCACTAACTGAGTAATTCCCATGAGAGACTGCAGTTCTCTTACAAACCTTTAACTTCCGAAAGGATGCATCTTTTCTTAGATCTACCTCTCATATGCTCCAAAGGAAGGTAAAAAGAAAATGAAACAAAACAAAACAAAACAAAACAAAACAATTAGGTGGATAGAGTAATGGAGAATAAGTAACTATGTCATCAAAAGAAAAAGAAATTTTGATTGGCTCTATTCTTATGTACAATGGCCACTTCCAGGTAGAGGTATTCACTGAATATCAATAGAGAGATCAGAGTGTCGCTTTGTGAAGACACAAAAACAAGTATAATCAGAGTTGTCCTATTTACTAAATTGAAGAGTTTGAATTTCATTATTAAAATGCTTATGAGTAAACTAGTTTTTTCATTACACAGTCTATCTACTTGATTCAGTTGATAATCTACTGAAGAAATCTGTACAAGAATTTTGGACTTTACAATTCACGAGAAAGTTTAATGTAAAAAACGGAATCCCCATGGACCCTATCACAAGGAAGTTATGGATTTAGATACAAGAAGGACAGAGCTTGTGGGAAGTAGTGCTTCAGCCCAGCACATGTTCACTACTGAGTTAGAAAGGGCTAGCTCCTATACAATTAACATGTCTAAAGAGGTAACTTAAAGTGAATAACTGTCACTCTAATTCTTTTTATTTATTTATTTTTTTACTTTTGAGAGAGGTAGAGACAACATGAACAGGGGAGGGTCAGAGAGAGAAGGAGACACAGAATCTGAAGCAGGCTCCAGACTCTGAGTTGTCAGCACAGAGCCCGAAGCGGGGCTTGAACCCTGGAACCCTGAGAGCATGACCTGAGCTGAAGTCGGATGCTTAACCGACTGAGCCACCCAGGGGCCCCTGTCACTCTAATTCTTTAATGTTGTGTCCAGGGAGTTCTTGAGAGAGAGGATATAACAAACATTAAGAAAGTTAACTCTTGGTAAATGTTGAGGAAAAATTGGGCAATATGCAAATATGAGAGTAGTGGTTATTTGGCCACTTACCGCAATATCCTCGTGTGATCTGATCTTATTAGAAGGCAATAATTCAATCTTTGGTTTATTTATTATGAGCACTGTGTGGGAACAATCTGGGCACTGATACAGGCTCTGAATCTTATTTAACTCAATGCGATGCTTGGTTCCAGTCACATTGCCTCAGGACCCCAGTAATGCTTTTCTCACGAATTACTCATTCATGGATACAATGCAGAATGGACTTGCTCCAGTTCCTGAAAGGCAGGCAGGAAGCCCCGGTGCATATACGCCATGGGCTCTGGCAGCGTAGATGCAGACATTTCACTTCTCAGTCTCATATATGTGAATAAACTGGCCTTTTTCGCCTCTCATGTTCTCTCTTCTATTCAAAATAATTTTCTGTATTATCAAGTAAAATAAATAATCAGGAATTTCCATCAATCAAGGAAAACAAATTATAATAATAATGAGTATTCTGGGTCCACAAGTTGATTTATTTCACCTAGACTGTTGCATGGATTTATCTTTTAAAACTGTATGCATTTAGCTACTGTTCAGACATTAAAATGCATATTATATTTCAAGACACTTTTTTAGGGACAGATGTCTCATCACATTCTGGAATTTCATATCATATAGAGAATAAACAAGCCATCAAAACAACCCATTCTTAACTGAAGTCGATCAGCAGGCCCATTATCCTATTTCAGAGTGTCCAAGGTAAGAAGATGAGAAATTTCTAATTAAGTTAATTTGAGAATACGTCGAAAATCATTGGTTACTTTTTTAAAACCTAACTGTGTAAAATGGTTTCACAGAAAGATAGAGACATTGTGGGAGCTCGACAGTGACCACAAGAAAGCCTGGTTAGGGACGCGGGGATGTGCCTGCACACGGGGCTCCCTGCCTGGGCAAAGCATGCCTGCAAACAGGGTGCTCTGCCAGGAAGCCTGCACACAATATCCAAGTTTAATGGTCCACTCGCAAACGAGGGAACATGCCCTCCTTAGAAATAAGGAGGAGGCTGGAATTGTGAGCAGGCCTCTTAGTAAACATGTTGTGGTCGCTTCCTCCCTTTGCTCCCCCCTGTCCTTGAAATGTGTTTGGCTACTTGCCCTTAATTGGTAAAGGAATGCATCTTGTAGATTTCAGTATGTATCCAGTTACCGGGGTATAAAATAAACCGCAAGAGGGGCTTGCGTAGAATTGTTCCTCCGGCCGGAGTTGTGTGTCTGTCTTTTGTGTGTGTCTTGTCCTTTGTGTCATTTCGTCCGCAACATCTGGCGTCCAAACGCGGGGCAGAGGGCGAACGAAACCGAAAGTGTGAGTACCCCTCGGGGATTGTAGGTCCAAGGCAGGGGAACTTTCGGGAAAATTATGGGGAATTCCCCATCAGCAAAGGCACAATACATGGAGCTAGTCAAAGGACTTCTCCACTCCATCGGGGTGAAGGTATCTAGTCGCCATTTATCTGAGTTATTTCATATAACTCAGCATTGTTGTGGGTTTAAGTGCCAACCCGAAGTACAATTAAACTTAAAGGAATGGAAATTAATACAGAAGGAATTACGGCAACAGCATCAGAAGGGTAACATAATCCCTTTGAAATTGTGGACTCTATGTAGTGCTATCACTCAAGCGCTTGCATTACATTCTGCAGTTAAGTTGGTGGGAAGAGGAAGCCCGAAAGCAGGCTCAAATTAATGAGGGACAGAACCCTCCTGGTCCCCTGGGGGATAAATTGATGGGAGAGGGACAATTACGAGCCTTGAGACAACAGGCTCAATTTTCCGGCCAGGATTTACAGCACGTGCTCCAGGTATTTATAGGGCTTGGCGCCGTGTTGTACCTACTGGCCACGCTCAGCCTTCTTTTACAAAAAACTTTACAAGGACCCAATGAACCCTAAACTGATTTTCTTGCTAGATTGCGGGTGGCTGTTGAGCGGGATGTTGGACGTGATGAAATCTCGGAGATATTTTGCAGACACTTGCTTTTGAAAATGCAAAAGGGCAGGGAGCTTCTATAGCTGAATATATTAGAGCTTGTTCGGGAGTGGGAGGAACTGAACATAATGCTGCTGTTTTTGCTACTGCTTTGGCTCAGGCTATGAAGCCCTCCAAGGGCGGAAATTGTTAAAACAATGCAGGGGACTCAATTGGCTGCGCCTCCCACTCCTCAAGTAACCCCTTTGTTTTCCAACAACCCTTAGAGATGACTGCTGCATCAGGAATAGCTAAACCCTTAATGGTGTCAGATTTACGCTCTGCAACTTCAGGGAGTGCGGCTGCTGATTTACCTCTTGCTGAAAATGTTCTTCTGTCTCAGGGAGGTGGCATTTATAACTTAAGAACAAACATTTTTGGCCCATTGCCATTTTGGCACCTTTGGCTTAATACTGGGCCACAGCAGCGCAGTTTTAAGAGGCCTAGCCATCATTCCTGGAGTTATAGACTCTGATTTTGTTGGAGAAATTTTAATCATGGTTTCTACTTCTATTACACTTTCACTGTTGGCTGGAGAACGTATAGCACAAATACTTATCTTCTCTCTCCCATGGGGGCTTCTGTAACCATTCCATCGGAAAACTAGTAGCCACTGCTCAAGTTCCTCGAGCACTCCCATTTTTGTTATTAAGAAAAAATGAGGTAAATCAACTTGTCATCTGGATCCTTAAATGTACATGTGCTTCTGTCTGGGGGATTAAATGAAAAGCTGGACGCAGCTATTTCTCTCCCCCAGGGCACACCGAAACGTCGGTTGGCCCTTCAGCAAACTCATAAACCTGTTTTGTGGCCACTTCTGTATCTGTTTTGTCCTGTTTGTCATTGTCATTGTTAGTCTTCTCTGTAGAATTTCATATATTCTTTTTTTTTTTTTTTAAATGTTTTATTTATTTCTAGGAGAGAGAGACAGCGTGAGCAGGGGAGGGTCAGAGAGAGAGGGAGTCACAGACTGAAACAGGCTCCAGGCTCCGAGCTGGCAGCCAGCACAAAGCCCGACGCGGGGCTCGAACCCACGAACCGTGAGATCATGACCCAAGCGAAAGTCGGACGCTCAACCGACTAAGCCACCCAGGCGCCCCTTCTCTGTAGAATTTCTGTGAGAGGGAATATAGTAACCTCTAGTATATATATAGATGTGAATATGCAATTCGGTCTGGCTTGCCTGCTGGGTTTGATTCTGTGGCTCCACAGGTGGGCACCCTTAAGGTCCCAAAAAGCCTATGGAGTCTGACTGTGCCTGTCTGCGATTTTGTGGTAAACGGCATATGGTCTATGGTGGCATCGGAATAGTTTCCAAAGCTGAGACCACTACAGCTAAGCACCCCTTAAGTTCTTTTGGGACACGACCAAACTGACATCTGACTGGTCTCCTCATTAGAGAGGGCTCCCCAACACTTTGTCTTTGTGACATTGCCTCACTAAAAGAGTGCCCAACCAATATCCGGGAAAACCTCATAAAGGGGACCTTATTGGTCTGGCTGAAAGAAATTTAGACTGAAGGGGATGTTAACTCTCTCCTGTTCTCTGTTCCTCTTTCTAGTAAATGTTGAGGGCTTCTCACTCATTCTTTTCCCAGATTAATGGCTATAATTGAAGCCAACTGTGGCTGGTTTACCTCGGGACGGGGACTTTAAGGAATATTCCCAAGCAGCTGCCGAAACTCCTTTTGTTTCGGGGAAGTTCCTTGTCTTCTCCAGACTGATATAGACTGCCTAACAAACCTTAAGTCTTCTCTGTCTAAGCTCACAAAATTTAAAATTGCTAATTCTCTTTCTCTGCCTCCTGCTGTCAACTTGCCTCTTCTGCCTTCCCCATTCGTTTTGCTCTGTGCAGCCTGCTGAGCTGTGGGCTATTAGTTTTGCAAAACTTTGCTCAACTCCTTGTTAACATTGTTTCAGATTCTCGGTATGCTGTTCTCTCTTGTTTACAGCTTCCTCAGGTTTCACTGTCTCTAACTCTCAAGACAGATATTGACAAATTGTTTTATCAGGTACAACGATCACTTCTGCGGTTCAGAATTAATTTTCTTTACCCATATCCGTGCACATTCCGCCCTTCCTGGACCCTTGTCATTCGGAAATGCTGTAATTGATGCATTACTTTATCCTATAGAAGCAGCAAAGCAAGAGCATCGTCTGCAACATACTAACTCTAAAGGATTAAAAAAAAAATCTTATTGTTCGCTCTTGTTCTATTTGTGCACCTTTTACCTTACCATTTACCCCACCAGGTGTCAACATAAAAGGATTGCAAGCAAATCAGATATGGCAAACGGATGTAATTTTTATTTCATCCTTTGGACAACAAAAATGCGTCCATCATACTATAGATACATGCACACATTTCCAATGGGCTACTGCATTACATTCTGAAAAGGCCGACGCTGTTATTACTCATTTATTATCTTGTTTTGCAGTTATGGGGGTCCCAATTGAATTGAAAACTGATAATGCACCCACCTGCCAATCTGCAAAATTAGCTCATTTTTTATCCCAATATCATGTGATTCATACTTTTGGTATCCCTTATAATAGTCAAGGACAAGCTATCATTGAAAGGGCTAATCGTACTTTACGTGAGTATGTTGAGAAAATAAAAAAGGGGAACAGGAGAGATTTATGAAACCAAAAGACAGCTTGAATAAAACCTTACTAACTTTAAATTTTCTGAATATTTGGAGCAAGGAAAATCTATCAGCAGCAGAATTGCATTTTCTAAGGAAAGAAGAGGAGAAGATGGCTGTGGTTACCTGTCAGGTAATGTATGCGCAAGCGATAGAATATACTTATTGGGCTTACATTCCTAATCCTCCTCTTGTGAGAGCTGTCTCTTGGGGTGAACCTGAAGTACAGGTATGCACCAATGAAACCGCATTCTTCCCACCACCCACGTGTGGAGGAATTGAGCATTTGCATCATCATCATAATCAATATAACATAAGTAATGTTACTGTTGCAGTGGAGGGCCTCCCCTTGTGCATCGGAGGACATCCCTTTTGCCTCTCTACAAGAAAGCATAATCATTACTCTTATAATACCTGGGGGATAACATATAATAATTATCATCCTGCTGTCTTTACTGTGCTTGTTTCCACCAGGGGATTCAACACCTCTACGACGCCGATGAGTCACCATCCTGATACCTTTATACCATTATGCCCTTCTAATTTTTTTATTCCTTCTCTAGAATCTTTGGAATGGGAAAACTGCCGAGGTCATTGGCCCTTTAAGGTCATGAATTATTCTGGATTTGTCATTGTAGATTGGAGCCCTGATCATGGTCAAATTTTGGAAAAATGGTCTAACAAAACTTTCAAATGGCATCGAATTAATGGTACTTTAATGGGTAACGGTAATGAAACCATAAAATGGCAGCAATTTGCACTCGTTCCCCCTCAGTTGCAATTATTAGGGTATCCCCACTTTCAAGGGAATATTTGGAAATTATGCGCAGTTTCAGGGAATCTCACTATATGGTCAGGAAACTATACTTTGGATAAGACTGACAGTTCAGGTCCCTTTCATGTTAACTTGCATGTTAATAAATCCTATTCTGCTACGGCTTGTCTAAAATTCCCCTTTGCATTGTTGTATGGGAATTGGACTTGGAATGCTACAGAGGGATCTATATCATGTAATCATTGTAATTTAACACAATGTGTAAATCAGTCATGGTGGAAAAGTTTTGAAACACAAATCAATAACTCTAATTTTTCATTGGTGATTGTTAAAACTCGTACCGAAGTATGGTTGCCTGTAAATTTGACAAGACCTTGGTCGGACTCTTTTGCTGTATCTCATTTGGTGACTGCTATACAAACCTTGCTTCACCGGTCCCGACGCATGCTTGGAATAATCATAGCCTCCGTTCTTGCAGTGGCTGCAGTTACTGCAACCGCTGCCGTGGCTGGACTTGCTTTGCATCAAGGGGTCCAAACAGCAGACTTTGTACGGGAGTGGCATAAAGACTCATTTATCATGGCAACAACAAAGAGATCTGGATGCACAACTTGCAACTGATGTACTCAATCTTCAACATACTGTTTCATGGCTTGGGGATCAATTAACTGTCTTATCCACAAAAAGTGTATTGAAATGTGATTGGAACTCCTCTCAATGATGTATAACATCTGTGCCTTTTAACATGAGTGAAGGTTGGGAAAAGGTGAAATGGTCATTAACAGGGCATCAAAACCTAAGTAAGGAAATTATGGAGTTAGAGCAGCAAATTTTGTCTACATTTAGCAAAACACTACCTGACATTACTGGGTCCGATCTGTTAAGGGATTAACAGAAAGGGATGAATAATTTGAACCCTCTTGGACATGTGTCTGCCCTAATTGGAACTGTTCTCGTGAATACTCTATTCATAATACTTTTATGCTGTGTTATTATTTTAGTCTTCCGGTGCTGGCGAAGAAGGCAACAACTAAAAAAGGATAGACAACGCGTTCTCGCCACCTTACACTTTGCTACCACTTCTCAGAAAAAAGGGGGAGATGTGGGAGCCCTACAGTGACCACAAGAAAGCCTGGTTAGGGACGCGGGGATGTGCCTGCACACGGGGCTCCCTGCCTGGGCAAAGCATACCTGCAAACAGGGTGCTCTGCCAGGAAGCCTGCACACAATATCCAAGTTTAATGGTCCGCTCGCAAACGAGGGAACATGCCCTCCTTAGAAATAAGGAGGAGGCTGGAATTATGAGCAGGCCTCTTAGTAAACATGTTGTGGTCGCTTCCTCCCTTTGCTCCCCCCTGTCCTTGAAAGGTGTTTGGCTACTTGCCCTTAATTGGTAAAGGAATGCATCTTGTAGGTTTCAGTTTGTATCCAGTTACAGGGTATAAAATAAACCGCAAGAGGGGCTTGTGTAGAATTGTTCCTCCGGCCGGAGTTGTGTCTGTGTCTGTCCTTTGTGTGTGTCTTGTCCTTTGTGTCATTTCATCTGCAACAGACATAGTGAAACACGTACTGTAGTCTCTTTCTCACACGTGCACAAACACACACACACACACACACACACACACATGATTACTACTCCTATAAATACTTGGAAGCATTTTATATCACTTGAAGTATGGCTATAGCCTGACTACCCAGAATTCTCAGACTTCTGGATTTTCCTGAAAGCCTGCAAAATCCAATTTCTATGGTGTGAGGTCCTGCTCTATACTTTAACACAAAACCAGGAAATTTGTTTCTTTCTTTGTTTTTTAAGCTTTATTCATTTATTTTGAGAGTTAGAGACAACATGAATAGGGGACAGGCAGAGAGAGAGGGTAACAGAGAATCCCAAGGAGGCTCTGAACCGCCAGCAAGGAACCCAATGTGGGACTCAAACCCACAATGCCGTGAGATCATGACCTGAGCAGAAACCAGGAGTTGAATGCTTAACCAACGGAGCCACCCATGTGCCCCAAACCAGGAACTTCCCTTATGCTGAAAGTCCAAAAAAAGAAGTTCCAGTGAATGTGTATCTTATTTGAAATGAATCCTTTCCCTGAGCTCAGGGATGTCTATTTGAGAAAGGTAAATCTGAGAATGAATCCATCCACGTAAAAGGCAGCAGAAATATGTTCTTCACTGTAGACAGAAGCATCAGTATATATTGTGAGATAATTAAGCCTGTTAATCAACTGAGATTTAATGAAAATTGTTGACAGATTACCAACGGAAATCTGTTTTCCCATGGATGAATTGAGGTTGGTAAGTTTATCTCTTTTTCTAGAACACATAACAATTCACTAACATAAGGTGTAAAAAAAGCATTTATGGTAATAAGAGAATTGGAGCACTCCTCGGATAGGTAAGTGGTTCAGAGGAATGGATTATAGGGTACAGTTTGTCCCAGAATCGGGAAGGACTGTACAGCACCTGAGCCATCAACCGGGTCCTGTACCAGGACGACTTAATATACTTCAGATCCATCTGTTGCCTTGCAGATGTATGAGAGGAAAAGTACCAAGAGTGAAATTCCTACCACAACGTGTTAGTTGATTTTATTGCTACGACTGAAAGACTGGAAAACCTGAACTCATCGTATTGGCAAGAGGCCACCAAAACTGGCCAAATCATTGTGAAAACTCTGGACAAGACTTCCTTTCCTGAGGAGGCAGGATGGAGGAGGAAGGAATAGCTAATGTGACCTGGCCTAAAACTAGTTAAAAATAACTAATTTACAAAAATTATATTTTTAGAAACCTTAGATCTTGGAAAAGTAAGAACTAGCTCAACTAAATGTCCTGAGAAGGAAGAGCCCTTTTTAGGTGAAGCTTCCTGGTTTCCATTCCTGGGCCCATTTGCCACATATGGGCTTAGGGCCAGAGTTTGAAATTTAGAGCAGGACAAAAAAGAACTAACATCCACACCACTGACGAGAAGAGCTAAACGCTTCCATATCCAGGAGCTAAAGAGAAACACATCTCCCGGTGTCTGTTGAATAGGGATGAACAAGGCACACTTGAGTCATGTTACATTGAAAACCTCAGTTTCAAACCAACTTACTCCCTAATTGCAAGCTACACGCTAAGCGAAGAGTATTAAGGATTTTTCACTTCGAGTGTCAGACAGTGCTGGGTTTAAATCAGAGAGCTAACACTAAATCTTTGCCCGAGGGAAATCTCATTTCCTCCCTACACCCTCTTCTCTGAGTTCTAAAACAGTATCTACCTGAGAATAATTTCTTTTTTTTTTTTTTAATGTTTTTATTTATTTCTAGGAGAGAGAGAGACAGCGTGAGCAGGGGAGGGTCAGAGAGAGAGGGAGTCACAGACTGAAACAGCCTTCAGGCTCTGAGCTGGCAGTCAGCACAGAGCCCGACGCGGGGCTCGAACCCACGAACCGCGAGATCATGACCTAAGCGAAAGTCGGACACTTAACCGACTAAGCCACCCAGGCGCCCCGAGAATAATTTCGTTAGTAAAGGAGATTTTGTCTTGCCAACACAAATATAGTTTTAAGCACAAGAATCCCTTTGCTCTACCACAGGTAAACCTTTGTTTAAGAACCAATAAGGAGCAAAGAGGAGAAAAGGAATGTTTCTCTGTAGACATACGTCACCTCCTGAACTCACAGTTGTGGAAGTAATAAGCCCTTGGAAGAAAGGCAGGAGAGGGCTACAGAGGAGAGAAGTTCTCTGCCAATTCAGGTGTTGTGTCCTTTATATCCTTGGTTAGAGCTGCAGTTTCGGGGCACCTGGGTGGCTAAGTTTGTTAAGTGTCCAAATGTTGGTTTTGGCTCACATCATGATCTCACAGTCTGAGTTCAAGCCCTGCATGGGGTTTGATGCTGACCCTGTGGAGCCTGCTTGGGATTCCCTCTCTCCCTCTCTCTCTGCCCCTCACCCACTTGCTCTCTTTCTGTCTCTCTCTCAAAAATAAATTAAATTAAAAATCTTTAAGCTGTAGCTTACGAAATAAATTATTTGTGTTTCTTGGGAGAGTTTAACAGAGAGGTGAGCAAACTGAAATAAAGGCAAGCAAGGCAGTCAGCAACACCAAGTTGGGCATAAATATATAGAGTGACAACAGTGAGTCTGTAGAATCAGATGGTGGCAGCATCCTCAGCCTTTGGACCCAGAATGACTGCAATGCTTCCACTCAGTCAGCCTTACTACCAGAAACTCAAAAAATGCCTAAGAAGGCAAAATTCTAGGACACCTGGGGGGCTCAGTCGGCTAAGCATATAACTCTTGATTTTGGCTCAGATCATGATCTCAGGGTTCCTGGGATCAAGCCCCACATAGATTAGGTTCTGACAGAACAGAACCTACCTGGGATTCTTTCTCTTCCTCTCTCTCTGCCCCTCCCCACTCTCTGGTAAGCTGTTTCTTCTTCTCTCTCTCTCCAATATATATATATTTTTTAAAGAAGAGGCAAAGATCCATGAGCACCTATCAGCAGTTAGAAAATGTAACTCAAAAAGGTCATCCTCTCAATACCTAAAGATACCATCTTTATGTGCTTAGGATAAACTACACATGAAATGAGCAAGATATATATATATACAAAGAAAAGCAGAGAAATTATTTCAAGAAGATTCTGGGCAGAAGGGGCGTGGAGCCCTAGTGTTGGGGGAAACACCATCCTTTGCAATTCAATTTCCCTTTGCGCTAAGGCCCCAGTTGCTCCTGCACATGGCCGTGCCTTTCTCCCTCTTTATGCCAAGAGGTCACACAAACTCATCATGGGAATTATGATGTAATTTAAGTAATTAGCCTGATAACTCAGCTGTCAGTCACTTGGAGAAGAAGAAAATTCCTGCACCTTATTTACTATTTTGTTCCAGGCTAGCATGGACTATTGTAGTTTACAGTAGTCTTTTAAAAATATCTCAAATCAGATATCATTGAGAAAATTTTACTGATGAGGTCATAGATACTCAGAGAGTTTTATTTTTTATTTGTTATTTTTATTTTTCTTTAAAAAATATTTTTATTGTGAGACAGAGACAGAGCATGAACGAGGGAGAGGCAGAGAGAGAAGGAGACACAGAATCCAAAGCAGGCTCCATGTTCTGAGCTGTCAGCACAGAGCCTGATGTGGGGCTCCAACACACTAATCATGAGATCATGACCTGAGCTGAAGCCTGAAGCTCAACTGACTGAGTCACTCACCGTCCCTATTTGTTATTTTCAAAACAGGAGTTCATGTTGGAGGCAAGATGGCGGAGAAGTAGGATCTCCTTACATTTTGCCTGCACCCTTCTCTCAAACAGAGAAGACCTGAAGTCATAGGACACTGAGCCACAGGAGTTTGGGAAGAGAAAGAGACAGAGTACACTGGGAAGGAAACCTCATAAGTGCGTGAGTGTGAACTGGGGAAGATAAAAGTGGGACTGGACCCAGAGATATGGAGGGAGGGGAGGAAACCCGGCTTGGGTGCAACTGTGGTGAGTGATTAACCGGTGAGTGGTGGTGAGCTGCAACGAGTTCCGTGGAAAGGAATGAAAAGCTGAGATTGCTCATAGAACCATCCCTGGAAATGAGAAAAAACCACAGCTTGGAAAGACAGTGTTTGTCAGCTCTGGCTGGGGTGCTGACTTTAAACTAGGTGCCCTGGTCCCAGAAGGCGCCAGGGAAAACTGAACTGTTGTGTGCCTGGCACCATCCATGGCGGCGGTGGCCCGGTGAACCGGCAGCAACGCCTGCGGAGGCGGTCTCAGCGCTGGGTGAAGTGGCAGCTGCGCACGTGACAGTGGCCCGCTGAAGTGGCGGCAGCGAAACCCAGCCCACCTTGGCTACATCCTCAGCACAAGGAGATCAGATCGAAGAAGTGATTTGCAA